AGGCATCTGCCCCTCTGGGCCAGCTGCCAGTGGGCCGTGGCTGCAGAGTTGGCCTTTCTGCAGCACTACTGCCATGTGCACCCCTGCCTGGCCATCTGGGCAGCTATCACCCTGAAGATGTTCCCAGTGTGGTAGCCTGCTTTGATCTGTCAAAGCATGTCCTCCTAGCCCCAACTGGTCAGGAGATCAGCCACCTCCAGCTGGGTACAAGGTGCCAGCTCTGAGCAGGCTCCTCTGCCTGGGTCCTGCCACTTGCCTCCCTAGCAGGAATTCTGGTGTTCCCTACTTGAAAACTGAAAACCCCCTGATAAAAAAATCCCAAAGTCAGTCTGTAAACTACCCCCAAATCCATGTTTCTCCACAATTAAAACAAAAGACTGTGGGTGGATGTGAAGGGATGTGGGGGGTTGTGGGGTGTGTGCTGGGGCAAGGGCCAGCCACAGAGACACTCTGGCTGGCTACCAGAGCATCTTTGTGGGGGACCAAGCCTTCGGTTGCCTCCAGCCACAGTCTGGGACCTGCCCCGCTTTTTTCCCCCATGTTGATTTTTGACCCTTGGATATTCAGGGGTCTAATTCTGCCCCTGTGCTGCAAATTTGCAGTGCATAGAACATCTTCTTGTTCCTACGTATGCCTCTTGCAGCATCTCAAAGGGCTTTGAGATACTGCAAGACATGTGTATGCTTGTGTGGATGCGCCCCAAGATTCCATCTCATCTGACATGGCTGGGGCAGTGAAATAAAGAGCCAGTTTTTGTATGACATTAGATATGAACAAAGGTAATCTGAATGGGGCTCACTGCAGACAAGAGTGTGGATCCTGCTACTGTTACCTATATCTTTGTCATTTCCAGACTTAACTGCTGTAACGGGCTACAGAAGAGGGCGAATTTAATACAGAAATGAACTGCTCAGCTAAGTGCAGGGAGTTCATTATACCAGCTGTCTGTGGTCAGCACTTCCTGCCAGTTACCTGTCAGATGCAAAATGTTGGATTTGACCTGAGAACCCTTAATGATTCCAAGCAAGAATATTTTTGCACTGTCTCTTTTCCCACCTCAGCTGTGGTCAACCAAGGCACTCAAACTAATGGACTGATGGTTTTTAAGATAGGATAGCATTTTCCAAAATGATGCCCCATTTCAGAATTTACTTTCCAGACTGGTCTCCTAGAGTTGGGAATCCTTTTTACCACCTAGGCATGCTACCAAAGCCAGCTTTCTCCTGTGCTTTTTCATTGGGATTGCCTGAACATCAGAGGTATCATGATGTTATATTCATTTTGGATGATCCTGGTTGGGCAGCTCCTGCCTGGTATTTGTATTTCCCATTTTATTCTTAGTTTTGCATATTAAAATTTTGCAAAAAGAATTGGACTCAAAGGCAATTTTTTCAATAAGGTACGAAAATATAGTGCTTTACAATTTAAATTATTTAGAGTAATCTAACGAATGGCATGCAAGGCTTAAACGTATTTCTTCATTTCTACAACTAGCGTAAGAGTGATATTGTGGCCGTGATGGTCCAGAAATTATGCAAGAGGCAAGGATTTCTTACAGCAATATCTTTTATTGGACCAGCTATATAGTTGGGATAAAAAGCTTTTGAATGCATTATGCAAGGCATTCTTTGAATAATTCAAAAGCTTGTGTAACTTAATCCCAACTACATAGTTGGTCCAATGACAGATATCACCGTTAGAAATCCTTTCTAGAAGTAGGCATTTCTAGCATGTGTGTGTGAAAGGAAATATCATCTGCTTTTTACAGCAGAAAACTGTGAATATGAAAACCTGGACTATATTGTTGGCTCCAACACAAGTTCTTTGTGTGACTGTAGCTCCTTGCAGATGTTAAAAGAAAACCCAAAAAGTCACTTTACTTTAAACTCAGAATGCTCCCACACTGAGTCCAGAACATGCCCGGAATAAGTAGTGCCTTAGTTGCACACGACTCACCCAAGTCTGTCTAGATTGGGTGTTTTGGTGGAGCTTTTTTGGCGCAGCTTTTTTGGCGCTTTTACCTAATAGCTGATTGACTCGGCTTTATATAAAAGCGCCAAAAAGTCCTGAAGTACCCGATCTATACAGACACTGCAGAGCCAAGTCTCAGTAACATGCTACTTCTTCCGGTAAAGCGCATTTTATTATTTATTTTTTTTAACATCTGCAAGCAGCCTGTGACCTTGGACAAGACATTTTGTCTCCATTAGACTTAAGTACATGCTTAAGTGTTTTGCACTGGTCCAACCAAATCAACTTAAGAGCTTTACTGAAGTAGGGCCTTTGTCAAAAAGCTTGATGAACTTTTATCCAACCTAACAGTAGGGCTGCGCAAAGCTTCAGTCCCTGATTCAAGATTTGGTGGAGATTCAGCCCAATTCAGTAGCTAAATCTCTGAATCAGAACTGAATCAGGGGACCCTTTAATCTCTCCGGATCAAATCAGAATCCCCCGAATCGATTTGGAGAGGTTCAGCGATTTGGACAGAGACACAGCTTTAAATGATTTTTCTACATACCTCTAGGTAGCAGGCAGCTCGTGAATACCGAGACGCTGGGGCAGATGGAGCATCCCACAGAAGTGCGGGGGGCTCCCCAGCATGCTCAGCAGCAGACCTGGAAGTGGACCAGAAGCACTTCTGGTTCACTTCCGGGTCCGCCCAAGAGCATGCAGGAGGCCCCCCACATGCTCCTGTGGGATGCTCCATCCACCCCACCATCGCAGCGTTTATGAGCCATGCCTGGTACCTTGAGGTATGTACAAAAAACATTTAAAGTTGTGTCTATGTCCGAATCACTGATTCTCCAAATCAGCACTGAATCTTCAGATTCGGACACATCTGATCGGGGACAGTGATCTGAATCAACAAATCAAATCACTGTCCCCATTTGGGTTGAATCCAAATCAAATAGGGCCTGTTTTGGCACACCCCTACCTAACAGTAGTATTTCACTTTTCCTCTTTTAGTAGTATTTTATCTTTCCTTTCCACTGTTCTTCCTCTTCCCCTATTATTCATCCAGCCTCACTGAAAGTGCTTCATAGCTTTTAACTGGGTGGAAAGACCAAAGCAATTTTACCCTTCTTTCTACTTTACAGCAGGTCTCACTCAAGATATCTTGTTAGTTGTCTATTTGCTCAACTCAGCTCCAGAATTCCACTTCACACTCAAAAATATAATTTCACTTACAGTGTATGTTTCTTCTACCTTGGCTCTTGAAGCTTTTCTCTGCCATTTCACGCAGGTCCCATTAAATATTGATACATTGCTGAGCAATTCCTCTTCTGTGAGCAGAAGTACAAACACAGAAGGAAAACTCTGTTGTTATGTGAACATTAAACCATAATCATTTGTCATCTGCTTCTCCTGCTCTACTCTGTGCTCAGTGTGCTTTTCACACAGCACAAAATAGCACAAAAGTAAATGGGATATTTTCATTTCGTTTTGTAGGGTCCTGAAGTTAGAAATATAAAATAAAATGAAGGAGAAAGTTCTGCTCTAGCAATTATTTCATAAGTATCCATTTGGCACACACTGTCACTGCAAACAGCAGCAACAACAAAAAAAAAGCCTTCCCCAGTTTTTGAGTTTTTGCCTTTGTTAGTTTCTCTTCTTATGGCTGGAAAGCCTTGAAAAAGAATGTCAGAACTACTTTATAGTTTTAAGTGAGACCAAAAAGAAAAACAACAGAGGAACTACATCTACCTGCCTTTTCACTTATACCATCTCATCAGCATCTTGTTTAAGGGTTTTCAGTTTACAGCTGAGCAAAGACTGATCTTTCTCACATGGGTGGCCAGTCCAGATGGAGCAGTCTCTGAGATCTCATCTAACTACTCCTGGAACATTTCTACTAGAAGAGCGTGCAGGTACCTGGCACACTATGCTGGAATGTACATTCTCAGGCAAGCATTTCACAAAAGTACAAAGGTCCTTGTAATGATAGTGCCCATTTCAAATAAAAGCAGTAATGAGTGTATCTGCTCTACTACTACTCATACCTACTGGAGACAGTGGAGAGTCAGTCTCCTTGAGCTAAAGCTACAGAATGACTGGGTTTTCAGTCTCACCAGACTCATCATTCTATATCAGGGTGCTCAACCCCTAGCCCATGGCCCCATGTTATCTGGACCCTGGGACTCCTCACAGGTCTGGAAATTTGCCAGCCCCTGCTGCCAAATTTCCAGACCTGTTGGGAGCCCTGAGTCCTGCATGATGGATCCTGTGCCTGATCCTAATACACAGAACTGGGTGGGGGCAGCACTGGGCCCCAGGGCCCAATCCCAGCATGCAGAGGGTGGGAAGGGGGAGTACCAGGCCCCAGGGCTTCATCTGGCCTGAGGGGTCAAAAGGTTGAGCACCCCTCGTCTATAGCATCTATAACTATTTTGGAAAACATTTCTATAAGAGGAAGATTGTACCAGTTCACAAAAAACAAACAAACAAAAAAACCAAACAAGAAAACACCTGGATAAAGACAAGGAGTGTTAATATCGAGCATTTAAAAATGCATAAAGGAGGATTCTATACCTCTGAGGGGAAAAAATCTTTATCAAATTGCTTTAGGAAGGCTTATGGGATATTTTCTGTACTTGAAACACTCATTATGGCTTCATTCATTCTTTCTTAGAGAGTGTGTCTAAATGTAGCTGTACGGTGACACTGCTATGGCACCATGCTTTAGTAGTTCCTTTTGGAAGGACTATTTTTCCTCAGAGGTATAGAATCCTCCTTTATGCAAAGTCGCAAGCCTGTACTTTGAATAGAGGCTGGGGAGTTAAGAGATCCACCAGCTGGATACAAGAAGCCAAGCCAGGAGCTGGCACAGCGGCTCGGCGGAGCTGGCGGTTGGCGAGTGGATGGGGTGTAGGGGAGGCGGAGCCTCAGGACCAACCACGACAAATCTGAGAGTAACCCCATCTCCAGGCCAGGGATGAGAACACCACTGAACCCCTCCTCTTAGTTACAATGTCCATCAAGTCATGGCAGGAAAGTTGCAGGCCTGACCCAGGAAGCAGGGGGATACCCACAGCGCCAACTGAGAGTGCCACAATCCTCAACACTTCTGCATGCCTAATGCCCTTTGAGGAAGGGCAGTATGAGATAAAACTGACCCCTTAAAGTCACAGCTTAAGACTGTCATATCAAGTTGCTCCTGCTTTTTCTCCTTCAACCTTCACGTCTCACTTATTGGACTGGTCAAAATTCAAACTAAGATGTTATTATTATTATTTTGCTGTTATTATTATATACATCTTCTTACCAGACATTAAAAAGCAAAATCATTCAGATATTAAGCAATCAACACTTACCAGCTACTGGAGGTATTATGGGGATTTGTAAAACAAACTTGGTAGATCCCTCAGTGATACTGATAGTGTAGTTACTACCCAGGTGTAGAGGCAAACACACCTCTGGGTTCTCTTTCTCTGTCGTGAAGTTAATCATCACTTCATGGGAGAATTCCTCCAAGTACCCCTGTCGACCCTGTATGTGAAACTATCATGGAAATGGAAATCTTTTAAGATGATCTTCAATAAAAAACAAAGATTCAAGCAGCTGTCTAAAACTCCAGTTTAATTACAAATTTACAGTTCTGATTTACAGCAGTTACATCTGTCAGAAGACTGTTTAATCTCAAACCAATTCTCTCCAAGTACCCAACAAGTGTACATGTCATACTCACTAGGTAGGTTTCCTCCACCCCAGCTCTTCCAAAATGTCTCCTCCATTTCAAACAGGTACCATTAAATACTGAAACATTGCTGAATCTGTCCTCTTCTAAAAAACAGAAGAAAAGAAGGAGAAAAAGGCATAGCTTCTCAAAAAGCATGTCCCTTACAATTGGCTGCATTACTTCCTTATGACATTTATAAGACAAATTCTTAATTTTGTTATTATTATCTCTTTCAAAACAGCACCTAGAAGCTACATGGTATCACAGCCTGAACTAATATCCGTGTAAGGCTTGTCTACACAAGGACTTTTTCCAGCATATAACTGTTTCTGAATTCCTATATATGCAAACATTTGTTACATAATAAAAGCCTTCACACATGAAACTGTTGAAATACAATTGAACCTTAAATTCACATCCTACCTTCATCTGAATTACTTTTCAAGTTTGACAACTGTCCAGACATAGTTCCTGTACTGAAGGCCTGACAATTCAAATAGACAAGATGAATGAAAGGTGGGAGGGGAAACAGAAACACTGGGCAAGTCATGTTACTTCTCCAAGGCTCAAAGCAGGGTAGAGACAGAACGTGGGGAAAAAAACAGGTCTCTTGCATGGCATTCCT